CCTCTGAGAAAGATATTAGTCCCTCAAGGAGAGTTTAAAGAGGCCAGCCGCCTCCATCACCAACTGGCTCCCTAGTTTGGGAAAGTCCATCAGTTCCTGAATGGATCCAAAGAGAAGATTCTCACTGGTGTAGAGTTAGGATGTAGAAGCCAATGCAGGAGGGAAAAGAAATCCAGGGGCCGGCCCAGTGGCACAGCGGTTAAGTGCACACGTTCCGCCTCGGCGGCCTGGGGTTCGCAGGTTCGGATCCCAGGTGTGGACATGGCACCGCTTGGCAAGCCATGCTGTGGTAGGCGTCCCACATATAAAGTTGGAGGAAGATGGGCACGGATGTGAGCTCAGGGCCAGGCTTCCTCAGTGAAAAGAGGAGGACTGGCAGCAGATGTTAGCTCAGGGCTGATCTTCCTCAAAAAAGAAAGAAAAAGAAATCCAGCAAGTTCAGAACGGATCCTCAGTGGGGACAAAGGAAGAGGTGGAGATGCAAACCCCAAGCTTCATTACAGAAGCGAGCTCAGTCTGTGTAAGTGCAGTCTGCACGAGATAATCCACAGAAAGGGCTCAGCACAGGGCCCAGCACACAGTAATAATAGCAAAAGATGACATTTATTGAACACACTCAACAACAGTGAATCCCCTCAGCTGCCTCTCAAAGTCAGCAGCAGCAGAAAAATTTCTGAAGCGAGTACGGACCCTGTTCAAGAATTTTCGTTTATTTTTTTTGGTGCTCTCATTAGAAAACGCCATGTTTTGCGTGCCTTAAGTGCAGCAAGCACAAGAGCACCTTCCTTGAGGGACTGGAAGAGAGGCTTGTCGGGCAGATTTCAGATAAAAGGTTAAAGAGGAAGAGCTAAAGAAACAGCCTCCTAAAGTTACTAAATCTACGGTCCAAAAATCTATGGACCATGCAGGGAAAGGGTTAATTGCAGCCTTCATAAAGCTGGGGAATTTCAGAGTGAGCACATTAGTTAAACAATGTGAAAAATCAGCAAAAATGGGTTGCCATGAGCAGCACTCGCCCTGAAATAGGCTCTCATTTACTCTTCATTTCTTCTGCTTTCCAGTCTCTTCTCTTTGAAGCAGCTCTTGATTAGTTTCTTTTTTAATTGCCACTTAATTGGGAAATAAAATTAGAACACTTATTTGATATCAGTGATGAGGTTTCTCTTTTCATTTCTGCTTTGATCTAGTTTTGAAAAACCAAAAGCTGAAGAGAGAAATTAAGAAAAAGGAACTAAAAAGATTTCTTCTTTCCAAGAGCTAGATGCAGCTATAAGCCATCAAATAAATATGGAAAGGACCACTCCCGGAGGATCTGAAGAAGAAAACAAAAGCGAATGAGGATAGCTTTATGGAGTTCTTTCAAGAAGACCTTCCTTTTCCCTCAAGTTTCTCCATAAGGGATAACATCTCCTGATTAGGAAGTGAGGAAAACCTGTAAGAATCCATTTTAACTTGTCCTCCTGGAGTAAGGGAGCAGGATGGGAGAGACATCCCCTAACAAAGGCTTCCTGACCCACGGCTTACCAGCATCTCCATGGTATCGATGACAGCGCAAAACAAATTCCAAAAGAATCCCAGGAACAAAATAGTCTAAAAGTCCTTTCCTGTTCCAGAACACCTATATAAACTTCAGTGGCTTGTTACCGCCAAATTAAAATCTGCCAGCTGATAAGGTTCACTCTTTAGCGATATTTCTTGGAAAGCCTTTCACTAAAGCAAGCAAATTAAACCATGCAGCTGAATCATGAGCTGCAGGGGAATGAGCATAGTCTGACTCTACTCCCACTTGCTCAGGGTAACTTATGTCAGGCAAGTAACTGGGGGAAAAATGCTGCCCTCCTTTCCTCTGTTGAGGGGATTTTTTTTTTTAAAAAAGCTGAGAGAGGGGCCAGCCCCATGGCCAAGTCTTTAATCTTTAAGTTCATGCGTTCTGCTTCTGCAGCCCAGGATTTCACCAGTGTAGATCCCGGGCACTGACATGGCACCACTCGTCAGACCATACTGAGGCAGCATCCCACATAACACTACCAAAAGGACCTACAACTAGAATATACAACTACATACTGGAGGGCTTTAGGGAGAAGAAGAAGGGAAAAAAAAAAGATTGGCAACAAATGTTAGCTCAGGTGCCAACCTTTTTTTTAAAGAAAGAAAAAGCTGATAGAAAAACTGTAGACGGATACACGTACAGATACACATACACATATATATACATATACTTACATGCATGCATGTGCACATGTCTGTTTTTATGTATAAATGAAATTTATATTCACTAAATGTTTACTTAATTATGGAAGAAACACTTGACTAAACTAAACTTACACACAAAGGGACATAAGAAACTACTGCACGACTGCATTTCCTATTCTGCCAGTGCCTGGACGTAGCTCATTTCACTAGTGTAAAGCACTGTGTGAGCCCATCCTGAAAGAAAGGCCTAAGAAAATAAGGGTTAGTTCGAACAATTATTAACTTTGATCGTGTACTGTACTTTACAATCACTAGAATCAAAAGAAGATACTCCCCTTCAATTCTTCGATCGCTTTTGAAAATATTTTGAATGATATTAACTAAAGACAAGAAAAATTTCAAGCCAAAAAATAATGGAAAACTTCCATGACAAATTGGTGGATCCTTGATTTCTGTAGGTATTTCACAAAAACTATAGCGAGGCCTACAATGAGACTTAAGTGGGGAAAGAAAGCGTGTATGTAAGAGAAATCTGAGATCCTTCCCCTTATTGAGGGGAAATAAAACTCCACTAACGCTGGGCTGCGACCTTTAACACTTGCCATTCTAAGTCCTCATTAACACGCACTAAGTGCCAGCCTTCTCAAAGACACGGTCCCTGTTCTAAGGCACCTGACAGTCAGGTGAGGGAGGCACTGGACCCACATGCTATTTCACTAATGTTATGATAAAAGCCACAAAAAGTACAGTATGTGATAAGAGCAGGGGAAAGAGAAGGAGGGAAGGAGAGCAGGGAAGATTTGAAGAGGGAATCGGAGGGAGGGGGAAGGCAGCCTTCCAGATGTTATCTCACTGAATCTCTACAACTGGAGGTTAAGTAACTTTCCCAAGGTCACAGGACTATTAAATGTCAGAACCAGGCTTTGAACCCAGGTTTGAATGAATCCAAAGTCTAAGCTTTTCCCACGCTGCCACACAGCTTCTTCCCAAACTGTTTCCTCTGACAATTAATGGAAAAACGTTGACTCCACCTCAGGTTCTAAGTGCCAGAACTAGACTCTGTCCTCCAGGCTGGGTCCTCTGTTTTTCACCTGTCACCTCCAAATACATTTATTCAGGTCTCTAGATTCAGGACGCTAATAATTTGTTCACCCAGACCATAACCACGTACAAAAACAACAATAAAACACCTACAAAGTTTTTTTTAGGTTACCACTTTGTTGTACTGTAAATAAAACACAGAACTTTCTGCCAAACAGGTTTGCAAAGTGATTCAGAGATTATAGGGAATAAAACTAATTAAAGAGCCATAGACATTGGTCAGAGCAACAGCCAAGCAGAGAAAATTAAAAGCAACCACACAAAGCAAAGAAGAAAGCAGTAGTTTCACTTCTGAAATGACTTTCGAATTCAATAACTCCCATCATGGTTGGGATGCCCCCTCAGAAGGGCTACTCTCCCTCTTCCTCCTCATCCTATTTCCTCTTTCTCACCTCTTCCATTCTTAGGAATCTCAAATTTCAAAATAAGGCTTTATGACTAGATCTGTGTGCACAAGAAGGTAGTCTTTTAAAATCAAATTTGACAAGCTTCCTTTTTCTCTATGTTCTTCTTGTGATTTTTATGCCAGTCGAAGAACATAAAAGCTAAATCTTTTAACCTAAGGATTCATCACAAGCAAACTATAAACCATCTAAATAATCCTTTGTTCTCCCATCTCTACAAGGTAGAATTTTTTTTAAAGTTTATCCAAAGACCTCAACCTTCTACTTTTACCTCCAGGACTACCACCAATACGGCCAATGACATGATGGCTATAAAAACCAGACTAACACAGACTCAGCCAAAGTTATATATCCAAAACAGACTCTCATGACCTTCCGTTAAAAAACACATAGTAAGTAAATACAGACAGATAGGGAGAGTGAGTGTCAGCGTGGGCCACTGCAACAATATGAAGAAAGAGGAATGATAGGGTGTGGCTTAGAAGAGTGAAAACTGATTCAGAATTGAACTCAACACTCAAAGGTCTGATGCATTTCTTCCACTTGAGGAGTAAATAGTTACTAGTAGGCAAGACCCTAAAGTACAGAAGATACAGTATTAAACGCACTTCCAAACACTGTCCAAGAAGCACCATCACTCAATTTCTCGAGGCTGGAGGCTACCTCGCAAAGTTAACAGAGCAAAGACGCTGGAAGACCTAATTACGTATTGTTCAGGAAACTTATGGATTATTTGGAGCAACGGACACCGTATACATCAAAACATTATCATACAGTAACTACGTAGGATTTATAAGGTGAGTTTATATTTTGAGATGCTCTGGTAGTGATATTTTACAACATAATTATGGTTTGTATAGCCTGGTGAATTTCCTCATTGAAGGTGAACTGCACCTAAATGTTTTATTACTCCTTTATTGCTAATCACGTTGTTCACTGAAACAACACCTCTTTAAGTAACGTTCCCTTTGAACTGTACCGCTAGACTGACCCGTGCTGTGCCATCGAAAACCATCGTTCAACGTGCTCTTTTCCCCGGATGTGCCTGAAGCACACGAGTGGAACAGTACACAGAAGAACTTTTATATAATAAAAGTACTGATGTCTCCGGCCCTTAATATACCGAGCACCCACCTCTGGTAAAGGACAAAGACAGTAACCAATCGCCAGGCAGGATCCCAATGTCTCAGCCAATAAGAATATGGGGGTGGGGTTACACTAAGCTCCCGGTGACTTCCCCGCACCCCCGAGACCCAGGTTGTGGGAGACTGGACAAGAATTGGACTCCGAGGATCTCGTTACCCCCGGTTGTAGCTGTTGTCCTCCTCGTTCTCGCAATCGCTGCAGTGCTCATGACCGTTTCCGTTCCCTTCCATCATCTGCGGCAGCGGAGGTGCCGGCGGCTTCACTGCTGTCTCACTCTCGTCCGCCATCTTGAGTTGCGAGAGCCGGCCTCCGCGCCTCGTTACATGGGGGGTTCCTATTGGACGAGGGGAACTTGCGCTATATTCTGGGTTTTGTAGTTTTTGTGGCGAGGGGAGCCGTAACTAGGAGCCGCTCTTTCCAGGGAAACCGGAAAGGTGGACTACAATACCCAGAAATCACGAGGGGAGGCTACCTTGGTTTGGGGGCTAGCACTACCCGGAAGTCCTGGGCGTTCAGCCGCGCTTTGAGGAAAGAAGGGCCCCAAGATTGGCGGGCCGACGCTCTGCGACCCGAGCGGCCGCCTAGCATGCTGGGAATTGTAGTTCGATCAGGTTTAAGGTTTCGGGCGTGGGCTCCAAAATCCAAGGTTTGACCTCAGCCTGCCCTTGCTAGTTCCTGGGTCACAGGTGAGCCGTTATTGGCTGCAGTTAAGGACCATTACCATTCCCGGGTAAGTAAGAGGGTCTGAGACCCGCGGGTACGACCCACCGGGAGCCCGAATGCGTCGGGCCTTCTTGGAGAGTCTGTTTTGCAAGAAGCCGAGGTGGCTTCTGGCTGCCTTTCCTCATTCGGGACCCTGGGCGGCTCCTGGTCGTTGGTTGGTCAGGGCCTCATGCGAGGCAGTGGATTGTGGTGCGCGGAGCACTGATCCTGAGCAAGGAGACCTGAAGGCTCGGTCAGGCCTTGCCGCTTCATGGCCTGCGGGTACTGTTCTCCACGAAGCTCTTCTGCACAGTGTCCCTTTCATTCTCCACAGCAGCCTTCCGCAATTCCTCTTTAATGCGCACTTAGGTATATACCAGGCTCTGTGGTAAAGCTTTTCGTACATCTCCTTTAATCCTCGCAACAAGCCTCGAATGAGGGTGCCATTATTCCCATTTTTCACAGACGAGGAAACGTGGCCCAGGTTGGTTGGTAAATTGCACAGTCACATAGCCAATAGGTAGCAAAATCCGTATACAAATCTGGACCTGTCTGCCCTTAGGCCGTCTGAATTCTTTACCATTACCAAGGTCCCACTGTCTGATACATCAGATAAGGGAAATCAGTTTTTAGAAGGTAATTGTGACATCTTAATCTATTTTCAGCCTTGACTGAATGCTTCAATCCCTTGAGTCTCGCCCCTGTGATTGAGTAATGGCACCTGAGTCTTGAGAAGAGAGCCCAAGACATAGTTCCCATTCCTAGAGATTTCCCTTCAAGTTGGGTTGTGGTGGATGGTGAGGGACAGACAAGTTCTTATCATCAGGGAGCTCTACTGGGCAAAAAGGAAAATGATCTTTGCCTTGTTGGGAAGCTCTCAACGTGGGAAGAGGAATAGGGTGGGAAGAAACAGGTCCCATCTGACTCAGGGAAACAAAACAAAGAAAACAGAGCTAAATGTAGTCAACTCTTGGGCCAGCCCGAGTGACCTAGTGGGTAGGTGGCCTAGTGGTTAAGTTGAGCACCCTCCCCTTTGGCTGCCAGCATTTGTTTCATGGGCGTGGACCTATATCACTCATCTGTCAGTGGCTGTGCTATGGTGGTGGCTCACATACGTGAAAAGGAATATATATATATATATAATAGTTAACTCTTTGTTTTTATATCAGTGGCAAGAGCAGAAGTAAATATGATCCAAAGCAGCTGATAATCCCTGATCATTTATATTTACTTTACCTTTATTTATTTATTTTTTGCTGAGGAATTTTCGCCCTGAGCTAATATCTGTGCCAGTCTTCCTCTATTTTGTATGTGGGTTGCCACCACAGCATGGCCACCAGGGAACCAAACCTGGGCTACAGAAGCTGAGCGCCCCAAACTTCACCACTAGGCCATGGGGCCAGCCCCTATATTTGACTTTAGAAGGCAGGCAGAGATCCCTGCTCAGGCTGAGAGCTGTCTCCCGCAGTCTCCTCACCAGGACCCAGACTGCTGTCAACATGATGCAGTATATGCATCTGCAGGCAAGAAGAGGAGGTCAGAGATAATGATAATAAAGCCTTACATGTGTTAGATGGATTTAGCTTTTCTAAGTGTTTCACCTGTTGTAGCACATGTGACCTTGAGAAGCAGATAGGGAAGGGGACCTGAAGAAAATCGTGCTTGCAAAAAAAAAAAAATCACAATGATATCTCATTGCAGAACCAGGACCCACATCTGGTATTCTAATTCCCATCCTGATATTTTCTTTTCTCACAGGTACGCAGAGGTTGAATGAAGGCTAAAGAAGCCTTGAGGAAGAGTGATAATAGGGAATGAAGGTGCTGGTTTCTGTGGACCCTGCCGTTCTTGCAGTTCAAAGCTTAAGTAAGATACTCTGCCTTGTATTTTACTGCAAACTGAGCAGTTTTTGCTCAGTGGAGAGCCTTTCTGGGGAGGTAGGCAGGCAATGTGGCTGTCAAGCTCAGAATACAAGTACAAGTCCAGAGTTCTAGAATCCAGCATCTCTGAGAATTTCTGAGTGAGAGGGGACCTGCGAGGCACTTACTCCCTCTCTCTTAGGATTTTTCAAGTTAGAATCCGCACTTAGATTTGTAGGACCCGTGATTTCTCTACAATAAAATGTAAGTTTTATGTTTTTAGAAAGAAATTGGGTATATGTGACACTTTTTTTTTTAAAGATTTTATTTTTCCTTTTTTCTCCCAAAGCTCCCCAGTACAGAGTTGTGTATCCTTAGCTGTGGGTCCTTCCAGTTGTGGCATGTGGGATGCCGCCTCAGCATGGCCTGATGAACGGTGCCATGTCCGCGCCCAGGATTCGAACAGGTGAAAGCCTGGGCCACCGAAGTGGAGCGCCCGAACTTAACCACTTGGCCACAGGGCCGGGCCCTGTGACACTTTTTTAAAATGACCACTTGATAACTAAATATTGTCACATGTGATTTTGGGGCCTAAGTTTACTTTTGAGTTTACAGTCACGGTGCAGAATGGTCACTCAAAGCAATGCAATGTAGTTTCCTAGGTTGGGTCTATGGATGCTTTCTTGGGGTTCCAAGAGTTCTCATATTTGTTCCTCCCCACACCCCCACAAGAGAGCCTTCCACTTTCAGACAGCTCTCACTGGTGGAAAGTTGGTCAAGTTTTGCCTTTTGGAATCATGTAGAAACCTATAATCCTGTGGCTTTCTAGATAGTTATTACATATTTTATAATTAATATCTGATTCCCTAAAATTCTTCTTTTTCCCGAAGTAAACATTCTCGCTTTCTGAGTGCCTCATCACACTAAAATGGCAGGATTCTCCCGTCCAGCTCTGCTGGCTCTGCCTACGCACCCATTCTGGCAGGAGCATAATACCAAGGTAGTGGGGTACAGCAGGGCCCAGAGGGTAACTGAGGGACGTGTCTGTGAAGTTCTGCAGATTCTGGAATTTGCTCCTAGTGTACATACCTCCATTATCCCTTCACAGTTATTACTGGAGACAGTAGAACATAGTGGTTAAGAGAATAGGCTTCAGAGTCTGACTTCCTGGGTTCTAAATCCTGCCTCTGCTTCTGCGTCTGCTTAAAGAGTGACCTTAGGCAAGTCACTTGACCTCTCTGAGCCTTACTGTCCTCATCTGTAAAATGAGACACTGCAGGAAAAACACTTAGTAAAGTGTCTGGGACAGTCAATACCCTATAAATTATTATTTCCCTTCCCAGGAAGTCAGGCTTACTGCTGTGATAATCAAAGGAAAACTTTCTCATGATGTGCATCACAGATCAAAGCCCTTGCTGCACTCCCAGCATATGAGAGATACCCTTTCTTCTAATGGGCCTAGGAAGGCATGAGCCATGTTGTGGTTCATTTATTCAACACCGTGGAGCACTCATGACATGTCAGGAACTAGGGAATCAGGGAGAGAACAACACAGTCTCCAGCCTGGGTTCACTCCATGAGTTGGTAGGTACACAGACTGACACGGCACAGTGCGTAAGAGAGTGGGGAGCACAGAGTGTAGCAGGGGCCTAGAGGAGGAACCTTGCACCTGGGGAAAAGGGTCCTGGAGGAAAAGGTGGCTGAGCTGAGTTTTCACAGGGGAAGCAGACAAACAGGTCTGGACAGAAGGTATGAACGTCCAGCTGCCTGAGGGTAGGGTGCTTTGTGGTACTGCAACAGGAATGATGCAACTGGAGCTTAGAGTGTGAGGAGCATTTTGGATGTTGAGACTGGAGAGGCAGTGAGGAGTCGGACCACAAAGGGATGTGGATGCCCTGCTGAGGAGTTTGGGCTTTATCCTGAAGACACTTGGGAGCCACTGAAGGACTTTTAGCTGGGGAGAGAGATGATCAAATTTTTGTTGGAGATCATTCTCTAGGGAGCAGACTGGCTGTCCAGGGGAAGAGAGTTTTTCTCCTCTGAAGAAGGAAGGACTAGTGGGCTCAATCGTGAAATCAGGGATGGGAGAAGGTCTTCAGCAGCTTCCTGTCTCCCTGGAGCTCACTTTCAGGAAGGATACCCTCCCTTCCTGTGACAGTGCCTGACACGTTGGCCGGGAGCACAGTCAGCCCAGCCTTCTGCTTGGTGCTGTGAGATTTAAGAGAGTACCAGGCATTCCCTGCTCAGAAGGTGCTTAGAGTAAAATCAAGCAAACTGGAAACAAAATAGCAAAGCATGACTGGGTCTGATTAAATGAGCTAGATAGATGAGTTAACTGAAGTTGAGGGTGGGGCAGGGGGGTGCAGCTCTCAGGGCAGCATTGTTAGAAAAGGCTTCCTGGAGAAAGCAGACTTTGAACTTGGCCTTGAAAGCAGCGTAAGTCCTGGATCCCAATTATAATTTCTGAGAGCCCTATGGACCCACTCCTGAGCTAGAGTCACAGCTGCAAGTTTACTTTTATTTGTGTGGTTATTTAGTTTCCAACCATTTTCCCCCACAAGACTCTACTTTTATGAGGACAAAGAACAAATTGGATTTTCCTCATCTCTGTATCTCTTGGGCCAGCACACAGCAGGCCCTCAATTAATATTTGTTGAATCAATTAACATACGAGTGAATGGGGAGAAAGAAGGGATAAAGCCCTCAGGGCGTGGAACACTACAAGCAAAGGGCAGAGGCAGGAGCACACAGTAGAGCGACCCCTTATGTTTGTGCAGTGCTTCATTGCTCACAGAATGTGCTCACACGGTCTTGTTAGTCCCTACCATCAGCTGTCTCGTTTGATCCTGTGCGATGAGCAGGGCAGGTGTTGTTCCTGTTTTACAATGAGAAAACAAGTAGTTCAATGATTTGTCCAAAGTTTTACTGCTACTTGGCGTGAGTTTAGACTTGAACCTGGTGTTTTAACACAAAGGCTGGTGCAGTAACTAAATTACTTTGATCTTTGCCTTTCCCAAGGGGGAACAGATGGTGAGAAATATGTCTGGAGGGGTGATCAGGAGCCAGGTCCCAGAAGGCGTGAAGTTTCAGGCTAAAGAGTTTGGACTTTATTTTCCAGCTGGTGACAACTCATGGGAGGTTTTTATTTTTGGAAGCTGTTTAATAAAGGATAAATATTAATGGTATTTGTGAGGTATGGTATAAATTTAATTGGATATTAATATTTATTTAAAACAAACATATGGAAAGTAAGCTTAATTTTAAGAACCAGAGTCAAAGGCCCAGGAGTCAAAGGAGTCGTCTCCATCGGACTCAGAGGCTTGTTCATCAAACGCAACTTGAAGCAGCACCATATTCCAGGCATCATGCTAGATGCTGAGGACACAGAGGGGACTGAGATGCAGATTGTTAGAATGAAATGAGATCGTGTAGGCAGCTAGAGCCAGCTCAAAGTTTATTTTTTGCTGGCCTGAATAACGGAGGATATGTTTTTGAGTTGAAAAGGCCCTTGATGGCATCACCTCATACCTGCAAAGGTGGAGCTTTAGTTCCCAGGAGGTGCCTGGATTGAAGCCCCTGCAGCAGCCTTTCCTCTGGGATCCTCCCAGAGCAGAGATGTAGCTGCTGTTGGCAAATTGGACCATAAGGATGCCTACTTAGAAGGCTAGGCCCCCACTTGCACAGCAGTAGCTCACAATACTGTAAGGCAGTATCTGGGAAAAACAAGATCATCGATGGAGGTTTCCAAACAATATGCCCCATGAAGAGCCTATAATTTCCGGGGAGGGACAGGCATGTTCCTATCCCCATCACTGCCATGGCCAGCCATAGTTACCTATGGGAGCGTGGGTATCCCTCTGATGTGTCAGGAGTAGGGAAAAGATTGAGAACTACAAACCTAGGTTATCCGTAAGTTGTTTGGTGCAGGAAGGGGACAGGGCCATTAGATCTATTTCTATGGAATATGTATTAGAATTGTGCTTGACCCCATGGATTAGAACTAGAAGAGATATTATCTAAGGAAGAACTTTCTCACTACCAGGACTGCATGAAGCTGTCTTGAAAGACAGTGAGTTCCTTGACACTGGACATGTCCAAGTATAGACAGCAGAGATGATGTGGAGGAGATTCAAATGCTGGAAGGGCGTTTGGACCAAATGGCCCTTTTGATCATGAGATGCAATCCTTTATTGGGTGTTGATGTCAAGGAGAAAGGTTTCAGGGACTGAAGTGATGAGAGAAAGATGTTGAATTACTTCATTCCTCAATGTACTGGATCTCTACTATGCTGGACACTGTTGTAGGCACTGGGGATACTAGTGGTGAAGATAGATAAAATTCCTACCTTAAAGGGAGCAGAGAGCAGAGGTGCAGTTTAGGGAGAGGGCAAGGAGGCAGAGTAGGAGTTGAGGGCCACCTACGATATGTGAGGCATTGTTAGATGTTTTTATGTATTTCCAGTCCTATCAACAAGCAGCACAGTAGCGATTATTCACACTTTGATAACGGAGACAGGCTGAGAGGCTAAGTGACTTGCTAGGCTTGTATGGACAGACTGTGAGCTGTGCAGCCAGCTGAGTTGGTAAGAGAGGGCAAACTGATTAACCTATAAACATCGCTTTCCTCCTGGGTAAAATGGACGTGGTGACAGTATCTACCTCAAGGACTGTGAAGATGTAGTGAGATAATGCCTACAGAGTGCTGTTTGGACCTGGCAGGTAGGAGGTGCAGAGTTAACCACCGTAGTTATCATTGCCATTGCGAGAGGCTGCACAGCTAGTGATGGCTGGGCCTGAATTTGAACTGGGACTCTGGTTTTTTCCCCCCGCGACGTGGGAAGGCTCTGGCTCGGAGGGAAGAGTAATCCTGCGGTCCCCACCCTGCCCAGCACTCGAGGGCCGCGCGCCTCCCCACTCCCCGGGCCCGCCCCCCGCAGCCGGCCGGACGTCCGGTCCGCGTGCTCGCCCCCCAAGGCCCCGCCTGCCCGCCGGGAGCCCCCCAGTGAGC